TTATTATTATTATTATTATTATTATTATTATTATTTCTCTGTTCCTTCTTATGTTTGTACTATCTCCTCTTCAATATTCTATTCCTGTATTCCATATCTAAATTTTCAATATTCTTTCAGATGACTAATAGCCATGTTTAAGACTTTAGCCCAAACACCAGTCCCTCTGGGACTTCATAGGTATATTTTCAACTCCATATCATTATGTTGAGGGTTTTTTTCTTAAATGCTTTAGTCACTTCCCCAGAAGTGTGCCAGTGCCCATTTCCAAGAGTCTGAGATAATATGCTAAGGGAGAGGCACAACTCTGCATCTCTGAGGTGAGATGCTGAATTTGGACTCAGCCTGCAGAGATGTCCTGTGTACTGTGGGTGCTGGTGGACATGCTGCTCACAGCTAGAGCCAGCACAGGCATGGCACCACACATTTGGCAGATGTGTTACCATAGATCTCAAGTGTTGCGGAGTCTTCTTGACTGGAATAAAGTAACTGATTTGCGAACAAGAGGTAGCGGTGACCACAGCCTGTTAGAGTGGTGAAGGTCATAAACCATTTTAAGTCACTCCCCAGATTCCCACTGCCCCCAGGTTGCCAGGCTGACCTATGTGGAAAACAGAGCAATGAATAAATCACTCACCTGCCGATTTTTGTGATTCAATAAACAGGGCAAGTTTGGGGTTTATGTGTTCTTATCAAATTTGAGTGTGTTCTATTTTAAGGCTGCTGTTACCCTAGAGGTGCTTGTGTTGGTTTTTTTCTAATCTTCATCTCTTTACTAAAATTCAGACATAAATTTTATGTGTGGCAGTTAGTTTCAATTAATCCTCCTTTTCTCAAATTCACATTTTTTTTCTTCCCATCCCTACCTCCGTCCTCTGGCACCTACCTGATTGTTCCTGAAGTCTCAGAAATAATTGCAAGTAGTCCAGTAAGTTCATTAACTGATTCCCTGAAGATCCACAGATGCGTGTCGTCTAGACCTGATGATTTCAGTATTAAATTTTTTAAAGTATTCCCTTACCTTATTTTTTATATCAACAACTGTATTGGCAAGTCTTCATTATTTCTAGTTATCAGTATCTCTTTGTGGTGGTTGGTAAATTGATTCTGAAACTTGTTCACAGTTTTGCAATTGTTGTTCCTTTCACCTCAGCATTATTGCTTCCACCATCTCTTTGGAGCTCCTTTCCAATTATGTTATGTACATGTTAAAATATATATTCATTTCTCCCTGCATCTCTCCATGCTGGCAACTGGGGGAGGTTAGTTTGCTTTTATGGCATTTCTGTCAGTTCCCTCTCTGGCGCTCGGACCATGGGGGAATTATACTATTTTGTCCTGCAGTTTTAGCCTTTTCATATTAGAATGTTGAGTGTCTCCCACACTTAACAGTTGCTAGTCTTTTCATTGCAGCATGCTTGTAAGCTTTTTAAAAAAATTAGTATCTGAAATCACTATACACTGTGCAACAGACCATCAATTAATACAATATATTGAAATCATGTGGTTTATTATCACACCCTTTGAAATTAGTGAGCACTAGAGACATATATCTTAGAGGACTTTGGCTTTAGAAGAATTACTTCTTATTGTGTAACTCTTACAAATCATTCTATCAAAAAATAGATGGCTGCTCATGGGAGCCCCCGGTGGTGTAGAGGAAAACACACTGCACTGTCACTGCAGAGACCCGGGTTCGATTCCCGGTTGGGGCCCCTCCCCGGGCAGATGGAGCTCGTTAGCCCTGGAAGGCAATCCATCTACGTCCTGAGGACCTCGCTGCCACCGTCCAAGCGTGCTTGGCCCCGGCAGATGAACCTCAGGATTAAAGGGTGGGCTCAGTTCCGCGCACACTGTGTCTCACCTAAAAAATCCAATGCGCAGGCTGGAAGGTGGAAAGACCTTCCCCGGTTCTTCGTTCGCGAAGAGACTGGCCATTTATTTATTTTATTTAGATGGCTTCTCATGCATTTAATTTAGATCTAAATACACAATTGAGATTGCAGTCATCAATGATATTTTTCCTCTGGCAAAAACCTTATGGCCAAATCTGTTGTCACCCTTAGGATATAATTCCACTTGCTTCAGTCGAATTTTCTGAGCCTCTGGTATATAAATCATAAATGCACAGTCTGTGCAGTGTTAAATTTTAGGGCTCTCCCTTTAGTAGTGGTTGTATGTGAATACATAAGGGTAAAATTTGACCTTTAAATGACTATAAAGGGCCAAGGCAGATACTTGGCAAGCTTTTCTTATTGCAGTATTAATCAAGCAAAGAATCATCATAATCCTGGAAACTAAATAGCCATTGTAGTGATTTTATCACCAGGGAAATTGTTCATCTGCCAGTAAGATTGTTACTAGGAAAGGGAAAAGAGGGAGTGTTAAAATTGCTTTATACCACTGAATCATTGAGTCCCTCTAGACTCAAGGCTTGAATTGTTTTTTGAGAAGAGGGGGTTGAGAGGAGTTGTTACAGGAAAGCTGCAGGTTAATCAGTTTCAGTAACACTAGTCAGTGTGAGCATAATCTCTCTTGAGGATATGAGGAAAGTGCATGGGAGAAGGCAGGATGAAGAAAGGGACAAGGAGGCTTCAGAAACTTATTGTTTTGTCAGTTTTTGTTTCTTGATGGCCCTTTCACAGAGGAGGAAAGTTGTTGATGAAAAAGAAAAAAAGAGGAGAAAAAAAACAGAGTAATATTCAGAGTCTATATTTTCATCTAATTTAATCCAGTGGATATTAATGAGAATTATTACAATGAAAGGAGAAGGACACAGATGCAGGCAGGCAGAAGTGACAGAGATGTATTTGTGTGGGAAATGTCTGCGTAGGGACCAGAAAGCCACATGGGAAGATGTTTGGCCTCTCAATGCTCAGCATGGTATTTACCATGTGCCTGACACGGCTGTGTGAAAGTGGGTGAAACACCTGTTCAAGAGTGTCTTTGGGGTGTGCTAGGACAGTCTTCTCTCCATAAAACCAGCTTCTGTAGATGAGTTTTGTGCAGCTGCCATTGCATGGTGACAGTGGGCAATCATAACATGCTAGAACCTCAGGGATAGGTCTGTTAGGCTGCAGGTTGTGCTGGAAGGGAGGCTTTATCCTTTTGCTGTGTCAGGACACTTCTCTGTACAGGGTGACCCCACAGTGTGGAACAAGTGCTGGAAAGTATGGCTAAGGGGTGGCTCTCATAGGGGATGGGATAGGTGATCTGCATTGAAAGCCACCTGCAAGATAGAGTTATAGTATTATTTAGGTTGGGAAAGGCCTTTAAGGTCGTAGAGTCCAACTATTAACCCAGCACTGCCAAGCCCACCACTTCATGTGACGGACTGTGTCTCAACAAAGAGTTTGCACAAGGGTGGGTGAATTTGGACATGGACAACATTTGTATAAAAGGTGCCTCTGTGAAATTTCTGGAAGATGTCATGAATTTGCTCCATACAATGAATGTGAAGAGGGGGAGTGAAATGCACACATGCATATGATGTGGACTCTCTTTGTATAAAAATGTTTCTTTCTGTGGGAAGTGCTTTCTTTCCATAGAGGGCTTTTTGGAGATACTTGTGTAATGGCTGCCTTCGAGGGAGCAGGGGAGTGTGATGTGACATGTAGTGCCACCATCAAAGACTTTCTGGAGGGGACAGCATGTATGAAGCCACTAAAGATGCCCCATGGATGGATACACAGAGATGAGAGTCTTTACAGGGGTGTGAAGGTGGATGTGCAGCCAACACCATGTTAGAGCATCCCTCCAGGGCAGCCACCCTGCATCCCCAGGGACTGATGGCTGCCTCATGTTCTGCAGGGACCATTGTCCACTCCATGCTCCATCTCCTTCCACCGGGTAGGCCATAACCACCATGTCCTTTGCTTTTGTCACCCCCAGATTGTGATACTGTCAAAACTGTTACTAGGCAACAAATGTGGTTACCGGGTCTCAGTGAATAGCTGAAGGGGAAAGTGAAGTGTTGCACCATTGTAGAGTAACCATAGCAATGACCTAGTATTACAGACTAAAGAATTATCATTAACAATGTTAAAGTATCAAATGGAGGCCCAGGATCCAAAGACATCCAGGCAACATCTCCACATAATTG